TTTAATTAAAATTATATATATAAAATTTATTTTTTTATTTAAATACTAAAAATATAATTAATTTATAAATAAATATAATATTTTTTTAAAAATATAATTTTAAATCTAATATTTATAAATAAATAAAATATTTATCATAAATTTGTTTTTTAATATAATAATATAATTCATTTTTTTTCTATATATCTAATTTTTTTTTTAATATTAATATATATATATTTTAATTTTCATTCTTTTATATTATATATAATATTATTTTTTCTATTTAATTTTAAATATATATATATATATTATTTTTAATCTATTTTTATTTATTATTTTTTATATTGTCTACTAATTTTTTATCTTATTTTATATTTAATTTATATTTTTTTTTAATTATATTTACATTATATATTTTTTTAGAATTATATTTTTATTATATTTAAAAGACAAAATTTATATTATTTATTTAATAAATAAATATATATCAGATGGAAAAGAAAAAAAATAGAAGAAAAATTCGTCTTATATAGACTAACATTGATTATTTAGACTTAATATATAGTCAGTTTTAAATATTAAAAATTGAAACGAAATTAAAACTTAAAGACTAGCAATTAAGAAAAGATTTGAATCTATTGTAAGTAAATTACAAATTATAGAAAATATAGCGTATTTATTATAATGGTTATGATAATGGATATTAATAAATAACATACAAAGAATAAGATGGAGATAAAATTATTAATAAAAATTCATAAAAAGAACTTTAATTAAATTAAATTTAATAATAATTACAATTTATAAATAACTAAATTTCTTAAGTATAATAAGATCTGAAATTAAAAGATGGGGATAAGTAATTGCAACTATAATAGTTAACTATTTATGCTGATAAATACAGTAATTTATCATTTAATGCTGATTATTAAAATATTTACTAACCTAAATAAGATAAAATCAATGATATAAACTTTTCATACAGATATATTTAAAACTATCAATACAATCTTAAAAATGATATATATATAAGTATCTAAAGTAATTTAAAACCAGGTTCTTATTTACAATAAATAACAAAATCAAAAAATTAAACTATTAATTAATTTAATTTACATACATAAAATTATGGCTTAAATGATGTTACTTATTATATTTACATGGATTTAACATCTACAATTAAAATGTATGATTATCATGTTAAGAATATTAATATTACTACCAACTTCTTTAACAATATTTAATTACTTTGTACTCTGAAAACTCTTTTAAGTTTTAAATCTTTCAATATTTTATAATTAAGTTAAGCTTATAATGAAGAAAACATTAAGATAAATCTTTCAAATTCCGAAAATTAAATATAGATGATTTTTGATATTATTTTTAATGAGAAAGCTTTGTAAGTTTTAAAATTAAATTTAAATCATATATTTTTATAATATGTTTGTGAATCTATGAGATTAGTAAAAAATAAAAAAAACCATTAACTTTTTAATTTTGAAATAAACAGAAGTTTAAAATAGAATAATGAAAGTGTTGTTTCTGAGCTTTTATTATAATTGAATTAATATCCTAAAATAAAAATAATTAAATTATATGATTTAAAATTTACTTCAAAATAAAAATTAAATAATTTAAATAATTTGCTTAAAAAATTATATATTATTGATTTAAAAATATTTAAGTATAAGAAAAATATAAACATAGATTTTAATTTCGAAAATTTAAAGGAGATAAATTTAGAATTCAATTGTAGTGTTTAAATAAAATAAGTTAAAAAAATTTTTAAAAATTTAAGTAAAGCTAAAAATGTAGAGGAAATATGTCTTACTTTTAATGATTAAATAGAAAAATATAATAATAATAGTAATAATAATGATAATTTTAAATATCTTGATTATTTATCTTAATTGTAAAATCTTAGATTACTTTCATTTACTATTTAAAAAGCTCATTAATAAATATTTGATTCTGCTTTGAGTTTTATTTAGAATTCGATATCTATATAAAGCTTTAAATTTGTAAGTAATGCTTGTAAACATAATTAATAGGAAAATATTAATATTTATAATTTGTATTAAATTATTGATAATAAAAGTAGTTGAATGATTCAAGTTTAAATATAGTCATTTATTTTATTTCACAGGAAATAGAAATAATTAATAATAACTTTAGTTAAATATTAAATTAAAAATAAGAATAGAATAACATTTATTAAAATAATTAATTTAATTCTAATTTAATTCTACTTATTAAATTAAAATATCTATTAATAAAATTTATGAATTAAATTAACTATCTTTACTTTTAAATTCTATTGGAAGTTGCTTAAATACAAAAATTATTTTAATCAAAGTCGAAAACTTATCTCCTGAATTACAAAATAGTATTTAATTTGAGAATAGCAAAAAGGAAAATTAATAATTTTTTGAATAATTAAAATAATTAAGATATTTGGAAAATTTATCTTTGGAAATGTTTTATAATTAATAGATTTTAGATAGCTTATCTGATTTTATTAGAAATAATTAAAGTTTGAAAAATTTATAACTTGTTAAAATTGTTTAATTCAATTAATACAATTTGGATATTAAATAAATATGTGAAGCTATTTAAAATCACAAAAATATTATCTAAGTTATTTTTAGTTTTAAGAATGAACAAAACGAAATTGTTTAAAAAGAAAATGAGAGTATTTGGCAAAATGAAAAAATTTAAAAATTTTATGCTCCGATAGCTAATTGTATCTAAAATTGTTAAAATTCATTAAATGTTGTAGAGCTTTATGAAGATAAAATTAATGAAGAAGGAATATCGTTAATCCTAAAATAAGTTGAAAATAATGATAAAACAATGTACTTGAGATTTAAATCATGTTTGAATAATTAAGTAAATTAATGTTCAGAGGTATTTTAATAATAATACTATTAATGTTGTTTGAAAGGAAAAATTATTAAGACTTACTTTTATATGCCTAATTGTATTTACTCAATATATAAAAGTTGATTTTAAAAAATATGCTTTAAAGCCAAATAAAAGAAAAAAATATAATTTTTATTTTATTTTATTTAATTTTAGAAATTAAATATACTTTTAGAATTTTATTTTATTTATTTTAATTTTATTTAAGAATTATTTTTTTATTTTATTTTTTAATATTAATTTTAATTATACTATCAAATAAATAATAATAGTTTTATACACTATTTTAAATATTATTTTTTTATATTTTTTATATCAATTTTTTAAATTGTCGTAATTCAAAATTATTAAAATTTTTTGGTAACTATATTTTTTAAAATTAATAATAAATAAATATTTTATATTATTATTTTTATTATTAAGATTAAAATATAAAATTTAAATAATAATATTTTTATATTTTAATATATATAATAATGTATTTATAAAGAATAAATTCAAATATATTATTTCGTTTTTACAAATAATATAAAATATATATTTATAATATTTATTAATAATTATATATTTTTATCAATATTTTTTTAATTTATATTAATAATCTTTCTATAATTTTATTTATTCTTATTTTATTATTATAATTAAAATAAATTTTAGTCATAATTTTATATAAAGTTATTTACATTTTTTTACTCCACATAAAAATTTATTTAATTTTATAATAAAATCTAAAAAATATTAATTAGAAATAATACATTAATTTTTTTAATTTTTTTTTTATTATTTTTAAAAATATTGTAATTTTTAAATTCAAAAAAATATAAAAAAAATTATTTATTTAAATAGTATAATTTAATAAATATTAAAGTTATT